TAATGTCGTTCGCGGTAATGTCGTTCGCGGTAACGTCGTTCGCGGTAATGTCGTTCGCGGTATTGTCGTTCGCGGTATTGTCTCGCGGTAATGTCGTTCGCGGTAATGTCGCTGTATCGGTTTTTCATCTTCCAGCATCTACACCCGCCGATTGAATATGATGATGACGAAGACATATATGATCAGAATTATCAAGTACAACAATCTATTTACTCGTCACCTCAGAAAACATCTACTAAGCGCACTGGTCCGCCAAAATCTCAACCCGCACCTCCCAAATTTCGTCGTAGAATTGTCGCAAAAGAACCAACATCACTTTGGCGTAGTCCTGTACGAGATAATCGTACATCATCACCCCGGCGTTATTATTATGTGAATCAACATCGACAAATGATCCCTACAGATGCACCGCCACCACCAACAGGGCGCATTTACTACCAACAAGAAAAGCCCCGACGATTAGAACCAGCTCAGTACGAAGAACAACAACCCACACGATACGTACAACGGCGCCCACCACAAGCGACTATGCGGCCGACTGTCCAAGAGCCTATGCATAGGCAACATTATCAGCATCCTGCACAACAATATTCGTCAGCTCCAATGCTTCAGCCCCATATACAACAACAACATCCGCCACCTCCAACGATTCAACCACATATACGACAACGACAACAACACTCCCCACCACCGCCAGCACAGTCGACGACAAAATCCATAGCACAGCAGCCAACATCGCCATCCCGGACACATCGTCAAATATCTCCACGTTATCGCAATGGCAATATTGAGCAACCGCATCCTCATAATAAATTAAAACATCCCGAACTCTATTATATTAAATCTCGTCAATATGATAACAATTATCATCCACCATTAATACGGCATGAAAGTTATGATTTACTTCCAAAACCGTCTGATCAATACAACTATAACCATCAAGAACCAGCTATTTCTAAACTTGTTTATAAAAAATTACCCCAAGCTAATAATAACAATGAGGAACACTATTCTTAACTTCCGATAAATGATGTTCGATGTAAAAATACCACAATCGAATAAACGAAACAAAAAAGTCTACTTCTGCTTCCTTATACCGTTAATCTATTGCTATTTTCCATAGCATGGATAGTACGGCACGTTCATGTGTACGAAAAATCTCTTGAACAATTCTATCTTGAGTCTTGCTCAAGACTTTTGGTGGTTACATCAGTAGTTTCGGAAACACTTATCTTCCTTATTCTGCCAAAAATCCTGAACGTCTAAACTCTGGCGATGAAGTAAGAGCCAGGACTCCAGACAGAATTAGTCCAGAAGTCTCGATCTGTATACATAAATAAAACTGTTAAAAACATCTCATTTTTGTTTCTTCTTTTATAAATGTAATTGATGTAAACAAAGAAAAAACAGCTAGTAAAACATTCTTTTATTGGTTTAAGTACAGTTTCGTTTTAATGACCTTAATAGAAAAAGAATAGAATATCCAATAAGCACTATAATAAA